TATATATATATATATATATAATGTATGTGTGTGTGTGTGTGTATTGCCGATCTATTAAGCGATATATTGCGCGCGGATAGAGAGATGTATAACCATCCTAAAGCTTAAACGGACTATTTTCGCGAGAATCTTACTGATCTAGACGATCGCTGATATCAGTAGATCGCTCATTCGATCTTATCTTGTTGCGTTCCCGCTTTTTTCGCGTTTCTTCTCGACATGTCCCATCGTCTCCACACTTGATACTTTCCCTTCCATTTCGCATTATATCTTCAAACAACACGAAAAAGCACATACATGGACGGGTTGGCATAGTGAAGACTAGCGAATCGGCTAGTCGGACTAGCAACGACATACGCAAATACATTATCATCATCATCATCATCATCGTCATCATCATTATTCATCTTTGATTGCGAGATTCCGACGAACGCAAAGAGATAAGGCAACCGAGCGGAACGGAAAGGCAAGCAAACTCGAAGCATAGGCCATGAGCGTGATAGTAAATCATTGTGCATGCTTTTGTGTGGTTTGAGGGAGATAGCATCCCGAAAGAGCGAGCATCTTCATACGCCCCCGGTATCCTATCATGATCGTAAATTCTTCGTTCAACGCCCAAGGACACGTCAAGTCCGAAGGCCATTAAAGTGTTTCCCTCCAAAGGTAAAGGATCCAATAATCGACGAGGGGATCGATGTCGAGAACCCGACAACGATTTCTTCTTCTTTTTCTATTGCAAATTCGAAGAATGGAACATGCGCGTTACTCCTAATGATCCTTCCTCTCTTCCGACATGAACGTATCCATGATCTTCTGCATCGATTCTCGCAAATCGTCCGTGCCACCAGTTCCCGTGGATGATATCGTCCTCGTTTCCGTTCGCGTGGTTGTCGTTATACTGCAAGAGATGATTTTTTTTTTTAGATTACATTTATCTATATGCAAGTTTTTTTCAGCTTTACGATTTTTCCATGCGCCGTGATTATTGTATACAACGCGAAGAAAAAGTTTTAAATAATTTTCGAAACGAACAGCGTCGTGACCGGGAGATAAAAGTAAAAAAAATATCTGTTTTTATCACTGTAAGAGATAATAACAACGTACCTGTCCTTGATATATCAAAAAAAAAAGAGGAAAAAGATCATAATTCGTATGTACCTTTCCTGAGTGACAGGATCCACCTCGATCGTTGTCGTTTCCATGAAGGATGGCTCGCTATGTTGCAAAAAGTCAGATTCTGCGACAACAAATGAGAACAAATCAAACATCTGCTTCGTGCGCATCACTGATGCGGCGGATTTTGCTATTTCGCTGCTGCGTGTTTTACATAGAGAACAAGTACGAATCGTACTATATATATATATATGCATATATGTATATATACATATATATATATATATATTTATATATATTTCAATTTTACATCATGCCCAAAACAAGGGAATAAAATACATATATATATATACATACATACATACATACACCTGTACAACTTTTATTGTGTCCACTACTCTTTTCTCGTGATGCTAATTACTTTTACACGTGTGCTACAAGCTGTAAGTCATCTCAAACTCGGCCGAATTCCTATGTATCAATTATGATTTAATCGCGTATAGTGACTAATCACAGGGAATCTAATAAATCGTGATACAAGAGATTTCCTCGCTTCATGTACGAAAAGTAAAAAGTAATTGTGTTACTGACATGATGATCCTAAATAACAGTTCGATATATAGATCCAATTTCTTTTGGTATCAAGAAGCGTAATAGAACTTTTATAAAATCCTATTGAATGCAAATGGAAAAATGCTAATTAATAAAGGCTGTGTTCCAAATTTACTGCCGGCGCTGAAAATCTATAATTTACTATACGTACTGAGTCTCAGCACTGACAGTGTGATATTTGAAATATAGCCAAAATTCGTACTGAATTAATTTTGATTTTACAACATAAGATAAACTTAGAATTTATTTACTTCTTGTACATAAATAATTCACTTTTTTTTTATACATAAGTAATTATTCTGCTATTTAGGTTCGTTTGAAAAATCAGCTATGTTTCATAGGAAGACAGCACCGTTGTAATAGCGCTTACAGATAAACGCTCGTTGATCTGTAGATAGTTAATTACGGCAATATTATTACTGAGTAATATTTGAAATACTTCTCAGTACGATTGTGCTGCGCGCAGCGAGCTCGTGTGAAGCGCTGATAAAAGCCGCTGAACAAAGCATTTAGCAGTTAGTCGTATATAAGAGATGTAGATACTCAACGTTCTTGATACAACAAAAGATTATACTACGGTAAAAACTGAAAGTGGTGTTTCCTTGACAATTTGGTAAATACATACTGATAGTATTATATACATTCGGAATAAAATTTGAAAATACAATACTGTAGCAGAAACGAATCATCAATTCGTGATTTCAACGGCCTTCGAAGTGAAGATAATTCTGAAGATATAAGATCAAAAAGATTCTCCACTGTATAGATATTTTTACACTATTGTGCATACGACAAAAATACATCTTTCTCAGATAGGTAAACAATGTTACCGGAATTAAAAAAGAGAAATTATCAAATATCATAGCAAGATTTTCATACGCAAGTCTACCGCCCTTTGGTTTTGACCGTAGTTTTGCACAAAACGCTCCATGAGATTTGGCAGCCATTTCATAGGAACCCGTACTAACTACATTAGTTAGTATTGTTAGACGAACGGTCAAGTGTTGCTGGTGTATTATTGTGAATAATTCGGTATTAATTCCTGATGCGAAAAATACGTTAATGTACATTTCCGCGGATAGTTTGACTTCTTCAGAGCGACGATAAATCATTTTACTTAAGTCGATTTTCACGTCTGGCACAGAATAGGAAACGTATTGGATGAATTGAGAAACTCAAATGTTCAAGGATATTGAATCAATAAAGCACGCGTGATATGCGCTAATCAACACTTGGATATTGAATGACGCTATCGAAATGATTATTGCGTTTACAGTTCGAACAGCAAACCATTGATAAGAAGAACGATTACAGACTCAAGGGATGCGAGGAAGAAATATGAATATCTTCTGTCTCGGTTCTCCATCTGGGGATTTTAACCTGATGTAATTCCGGGGAGTCCGCCTTTCGATGCGTCGAAATGGTGCTGAAATCCAAACTCGCCGGAGTTATATCGGTTCTTAGTCCCCTTCGCACTGCCCTTCGACGTACGTTTGCAGTTCTGCGGGATCGGAAGGGTCGGTTTCGGTGATGGACTTGTTAAAAAGCCGCAGCATATCGGTTGGTGCAACGCAACTTGCTCTCACGTAGCGGCGAAAAGACAGTTAGTTTGGTGCCGTTCGAGATGTAGCCATGTGTACTCGTCCGTATATCGATAGAATTCGAAACAAGCTGCATACCTTGTGCTTGCACACGTGTATAGACACGATACATATACATACACTTAGACATTACTTACATGACGATTCGCCTAACAATCCTAACGTGACTAAAAAAACACGATTGTTGGTCCCTCTACACTTTAGCTTTATCTTGAGTTGCTTATTGTCAGAAGAGAGCTAGAGGGGTAATAGTGATCTATAGGATACTCGAAATTAAAACAAAAAAGAAATAGAAAAAGGAAAGAAAAGAAGAAAGATAAAAAAATAAAAAAAATAGAGAGAGAGAGAGAGAGAGAGAGAGAGAGAGAGAGAGAGAGAGAGAGAGAGAGAGAGAGAGAGAGAGAGAGAGAGAGAGAAAGGAGAGTAGGAGTTTTTTTGATATGACGAAGGTACGTGCAACTAGGTATAAAACATATCTTTCTATTAATCGGAGTGGGAAAATCATTGTGCCCCAATAATGGGGTACTACGCAAAAATAAAACAGTTACTACGGGCTAGACTAAGACTAAGAAGTACGATACAAAGATGCAATCATGCGGGGGAATATCAATGTCAATATTCATGCAGGTCGTACTCTAGAAAAAAGAAAGCTTGCGGAACAAGTTTCATCGATCGCGGGGATTTACCTGTCTTCTCAAGATAAATGATGACTTATCACACGTAATCGATAGCGGTACAAAAGAGTAATCCTTTATGTGACAGAAGGTAGTTCAGTTTTATAAGTACCATTCATTGCGCGTTTTTCAATCTTCCTCACTATTCGCCGGAATTGTTAAGATCACTGCTGGCGTTCAATTGAAATCTTCCTTATAAATAATTTATACACAAATAAACTAACTTCGAAATCATTACGATTGCAAGTGATTCCAAAAATATACAAGTAGATTTTAATATTATATGCGAATATCACATTCGGATAAATATATCTGTTGATAATGTTTGCATCATAGAACATTGCATATTTCATATAATATTGATACAAGCCCTAAGCACACCTCATATAATCAAAGATATCAATAATCAAAGATATCTATGAATTAATTATAATATGTACATTTTCTTCAAAAATGACACGTTCAAAGCAATCATCTGATTAATGTGTATTATAACTTCAGAGAATTTCTTAATTTTCGCTTATAACAGTACACAAGTGAACTCGTAAGAATGATTGGTTATATCATTTTTTTAAACAAATTGACGAGCATTGATCAGAGAAAATTTGTCGTGTCACTTTTGAAAATAAAATAAAATATTGAGTAATTATTAGCGATACTTATTAGCAGTTCTATCCTGATAACCGTGTAAAAGCCTGGTTTTTAACAAAGTTTAATATTATAAAATGATATATATATTCTTTAATAAAAAAATAAATAATGTGAAGGGTAATCGTACCCGGCTTGCCTCGGGATATTGTTAGACAGAGTGTAGATGACACGCCGAAACATTTGTGGCTCCAGGGCAAGTATAAGTGCTATTAGAAGTATCAGCACAGCGACAGCTATGCTCGTCCAACACGCGCAGCTGGCTCTACCGGATGTCTTCATCCTAGTCTTCGGTTCTATCGTATTACCTGAGCAAATCGACCGTACCATACCGTGTGTTTCTGCTACTTAAAGATTATCAATTGCCATGAATTATGGTCGCATATGTGAATTTTGATCAGTTGATTGATTGACTGGCTGATTGATAAGATGATGACTCCAGAGCCATATAATTAGTATGAGAAAGCCGACAATAACAGGATAGTTACATTTTGTCTCGAAAATCAAAATCGAGATAGATTAATTTTATCATCATTAAACAGTAGGCTTACAATTAAATTCTCGTTGGTTCGAAAAATATTGCCTATATTTCAATTTATTATCAAATTAAAAAGCTTCGAAAAACAAACTCAAGATTTAATCGCGCAATTATTTTCATTGAATATTATAAATAATGAAAATATTCTCATGCAATTTTTGGAAAAGCTTCTGTGAACTAGCTCATATTGTTTAATATTAAACGACCAGATATATGCATTGAATTTATATCCCATAACAATTTTTTAAATGTTTGTTGTGATCATTGTATAATTTTTTTTTCAATTATTACAAACATTGCTCTGTTATCTCATCAGCGCTATTTCGACAAAATCACGTAAAGTAACTTCGTTAAATCTTATTATATATTACTGAATGTACAATGCGTCGACGTGTGATAGATGTATATGTTTGATCGTTCAACGTGACTGATCGCGAATGAAAATATATATAGTCCCACGAAGCCCCTGATCACAAACCTCTCCATCTTAGCCAAGACCAACGGAAAAACAAAAAATGATGTTCTTATCGAATGTTTCCCAAACGAGAAGCAACACTTAGTCGACCACCATTAATCGTACATGTAACAATTCCTCGAAGCACGAAGAAGAATATATTATTTTATAACTGCAGATTTGTACGATTGTACTTCACAAGCTTTATTTTTTCTTCCGGGTCACTACCCTTCTGTAAAAAGGTACGTACGACGCCATCGACATTGATCTTTGTGCAAAACATCACAGATCATGCAATTTCTAAGCAAACAATTCCCAATTTGTCCTTTGCAACCTCAAGTTTCAAGTAATAGAGAGTCAAAGGTCCTCGTAATTAAAAATTATTATCAAATTATTGATCTTTCAAGTTCAAGAAAGGATTTCTTTGAAGTTTTAAAATCTATACTTAATGTACTGCAAAGTATCGTACATAAATAAAAAGGCTATATTAAAACTAAGAGAAAATTTCAAATGTAAATTGTAAATAAGCCAACAGAAGATCTTTGACTGTCGAAATCCAAATTTACATCCCTGGAACAACTGTATATCTGTGACACCTATAACTTTAGAATTTGAGTGACCTCACTCAACCAATTTTATCGTTCCAAGGATGATCTTCATCGATCAACTTCCACCACCCAATATTAATTCTTCTCATCGTGCAACTAGCGGGAAGTACAGGAAAATGCATAGGAGTTGCATGCAAAGGTAGCAGGGATTCAACACCAAGGCTCAACGTGTAATAATCTATGTACAAATATAATATATCTTTTCTTTTTTTTTCGGACTCGTTTGTTCACATAATCCAGGAAGTAACCGATTAGCGAGGGAGAGTTCGAGGGGTATGTACATTGCTTATGCAGAAGGTTAGCTGTGAGAGTGCGGTACCTTGGTCGTCCTCCAACGGGGACAGCTCCGCACCTTCGTGCAGTGCTACATCCGACCCGCTGGAACTGCCCAACGTACGCCTCTTGCTCGGGGATCTTCTTCTAGGTTGCGGCGAACCGTCACTATCGGTGTCGCTGTGCATATCGTGCCTTGAACTACCATCGTTCTTGTTGTTATTGTTGTTGTTGTTGCTGGCAAACGTGTCAACACCGCCATTTCCAGAACCGGGTGATGTGTCTTGGGAATACTGCACCTCCCATTGTTCATTCGCCGCTGTCCAAGAGGCCGTCTCTCCGATTTCGGATCTCGTTAATTGTTCCTGAAGGCTTCTTAGGGCGGACTCCGCGTCCCCGTAGCCGCTGCCACCACTGCTGAAAGTCGTTCTCACCACTCTTTCGGTTTTTCCGATCTCCGACGTCTCCGACATCACGCGTTGCACCATCTGCACGACACCGTCAGACTCCGATCTGTCGGTCCTAATCGTAGTGATAGAGGAGTCGCCGAAATCGAAGATCTCGCTGGGTGGCGTATTAGCGACTTGATTTATCCTCTTGACAACCTCCTCATGCGTTACAGGTTGCAAAGTACTGTCCTCTGACGTCAAAGTCACAGTCCTCACCATCTCTACAATACCACCAGTCTCCAATAGTTCCTTCAATTTCGTAGGATCGATCGACGAATTGTTGGTCACTGCAGTTGTTTGTATTTGCTCTACGGAAGGAATTTCCGTTTTTCCACTTATCATAGTCTCGGTCAGATTATCCGTTTTGACTATCTGGATCGCATCACTTGATACTTCCTTTATCTCCTCTATCGTCTCTTTGATCAACTCCCCATCTGTATCTTCAGTAATGTATTTGACGGTTCGGGACACCGCCTGTGGACCGATGATGTGATCTTCCGAGAACTTTAATGGGACGGATTTCGGATCGTCGCTCGATTTAGGCGCGTGAGGGTCGATTTTAAAAGGTATCTTGCTCTTTGGACTCTTGCTCGGTGACTGCATCTCCTGTGTTGGCTTGGAAGGCTGCTCGACCGTTTTATGTGTTCGTGAGACATCACTAAGCTCCAGATGGAACTCGGGTTTGGTAGACGACTTGGTGGAGAGACGCGGGGCGGGAACAGGTTGTTTTGATGGAGCAGAAGTAGCATGCCTCTCTACAGTCCCATCAATCTCAGCCGAATCATGCCCTGACCCATCCAAAAGGACATGGACAAGAACAGGAACAAGGACATAAAGCACATTGATACACACTAAGAATTTTAACTCTAGCCCAGCTGCCAAAGTTAGACCGGAAAGATTCGGAGCGTGTTTGCCTCGCATACGCATGAGTACGCGCACATTATGCATTAATTAACGAAAGATTCGCGCTTGGTGCACGCACGCACGCATGTGAGGCATAGGAGAAGCGATCCCAAAGAGATGCGTCTCGCGCATGATGCGTGTGCGCGTTCATTGCGGTTCTGCCCGCTTATTTAGTTTTTTTTTTTTTTTTTAGTTAGTATCAATATTGCAACCAGGATTAGTCTTTTTATCGAAAACGAAAGAAAATACACTCATTAAAAAACGGTGTCTGGTTATGGCGCCTGAATCTTACTAAAATGTACCATTATGGAAGCAGACAAACGTCGAGAACATTCTGAATATTCCAAATTTTTTCTAAGATCACGCAATTAATTGAAAAAAGTAAAATTTAAACTATATTTGTTTGTCTTGTTTTCACAAAAAAATCACTTCCTCGCCGATATGATGATACCACAATTTGCTGGACACGCTACAACTGGCTAAACTACTCGACGAATATATATGTATTATATACAGATTAGTTTTTTCGAGCAAATGAAAATTCTACTTCTTGTCTTCGACAATGCAAAAAAGAGATCGGTTACTATTTAGTAAGAGACGTGCGCACAGTATCAGTTAGTGTGAAAGCGTCGGCAGGTGCTAACTATGGAAGATAAAGCTAAATATAAATGAGGGCACCAAAAAACAAAGTCTTCTACCGTTACTGATCTTCGATCGGAGATGATGATCCGCGTACGTGAACTCTTTTACATTTTACTCGAGTCGATTTTACGTTACCTGTTTTCGTCGAGGTGTACGCCTGGTCCGCCAGGTTTTGTGCCCGTCGTGCAGCCTCTTTGGTCACGTCTGAAAAGTTCATATAAAGAAAAAAATTGAGTTTACATTGGGAATCGGCAAATATGACATTGAAAGCAATGATTCAACAAAGATTAGATGATGGATGATGTTTTTTTTTCTCTGCATGGCATACCTCAGTTCATGCTTCGCTAGTTGTGGTATTCCTGTTAATTTCAATGAGACATAATTACCGCATAATCGTAAATACGTGATCTCTATATGTTATATACGCTACAAACGAAAAAAAAGAGATACGGTTGGGGCAACAAAATAAGATTCCGATGTTCAAGAAGTAATACTAGGAAAATTATCCATTGTGGTAAAAGAGACGTTTAAAAAATAGCGCAAAAACCTGGAATCATGCATTAAATAGATATTAACAAAATCGTTAAGACGTAACTGAAAATAAGTACAGCAAATAATTAAATGTAGTATGTACATATAGGTATATCGTTTGTTCTATTCGATATTAATCAGATCTTTCTTTGAGAATCTTTATACTATAATGAATTCTGCCTGATTTAGATTTCATTTTAAATACACACATAATCATAATTAAACACATCGTCTCATTTAAATAAAATTGAATTCAATTAACAATATACCCATTCGATACACATGGAAACATAAAGAAAATTTAAAACAATACACAGAAAATTATAATAGGAATAAGCGGTAGTATGATTGTCTCGGATGTTGTCGATTGGTTCTACGAATCGTAAAATGATGAATTAATGGACTGAAAATGACTGAAAGATTAGAGTGTTAGGTTTTATTAATGACTGACGAAGGTGCATGAATGTATATATATATATATATATATGTATATATATCTTTCTCTTTTTTTGCTCTCTGATGTCACGAGAATAACTAGTAAAACTGAAGTTACAGAGAAGCGTCAACTTAATCATTAATCATGTTACACACAGCTGGTATATGTAATATATAATATAGATATAGATATGGATATAACGCAAGATTATTGCAAGATACCTTCGGTTCTACTGTCAGTGAACTCGGCGAGTGAACTGGGTGGCGGTGGGGTCGTTCGCACAGACTTTGTCACGATTGTGGTGACGGAGTGCCGTGTGCGAGGCTCGGGGTGCCCTATCGTGGTTACTGTCTCTACTACTCTACGCGAATTACCCGAATCGTCTGAACCTGCCTCCTTACCCGAACTTTTCTTTTGTGGAATGCGAGATACTTTCTTAACGCTAACTGTCTCGGTTAAATGCTCGACGCCACCGGACGTCTCTGACCTGCCAGCTATATCGGATCTACGAACTACCTCCTGAACAATCTCGCCTGTGCGTTTCGATCCTACTCTATCACCGTTTCTTTTTGTCGCTGGCATTTCAGTCACTTTGCCCGTTCTCTTAGTGATAGGCGAAACTTTGCCCGTGCCTTTCACGTCCATTGGTAATTGTGACTTCGGGGGACTCTTTCTCGTAGTTTTAACGGCACTGACAGATCTGTCCTTCGCATCAGTTGTGGATTTGGCGGATTTATCTTTCGCTTGAGCGAGATCGCTCTTAGTACGAGCTTCTTCCGCGGTTGCTTCTTGCTTGGTCTCTTCCAGGAAGTCCTTCATATCATCCGTTGCATCTTCTACTGCGTGTTTGGCGCTCTTAACCACGCCTGATAAAAAACTGCCTGATTTTTGTTTGATCTTTTTAGTATCTTTCGCGGTTTTGTCCTTAACAGTCTCTGTCGTACTAGCGATTGTACCTGTGCCAGTCGCCAATTTTCCTTTGACTATTCGTGTATCTTCCTTTGCTTCACTTACAATAGCATCTTTGGCGCGTTTAGTTTTCTGTGTCACATCTTGATCAATAGATTTAACTTTTTCCCCGGCTTGCGTCACACTATGCCCTATCTTACTTCCCGCCGCTTTCACAGTAGAGATTGTTTTGTCCTTCGCACCTTTTATATTAGAAAGACTCTTCTCCTTAGCGTCTTTCGTGCCTTTCACAACTTTACTCGTAGAGGTTTTAATTTCACTAACGGCTTTATCCTTTGCTTTTTCCAGTTCTTTTGATCTTGCCGCCGCGGCTTCTCTAGCGAGTGCTTCATCAGCAGCTGCTTCTTGCCTGGTTACTTCCAGAAAGTCCTTCACATCGTCGGAAATTTCCTTTCCTGTTTGCTTTGCACTCTGAATAACTTCAGACAGGAAATCTGAACCCGTGTCCTTCGCCTTTTTAGCATCTTTCGCAAATTCATCTTTGACTGCTTTGGCGCCGTCAGCAGTAGCATCGGCAGTTGTTAATAATTTATCCTTCACCGCCTTTGTATCCTCTTTTATTTCTTTATCGAGACTTTCTCTGGCATGCCCTATACCATCTGCAATATCCGTGGTTTTAGATTCTATTTTTTCACTAACCTTCTTTGTTTCAGTTGCAAGTTTATCAACTGCAATCTTCGTGGTGTCCGCTACTTGAGTCATTGAGTCAGAAATTTTATCTTTAGCGTCCTTAACATCAGTTACTACTTCTTTTGTAACATCCTTTGCGCTATCAATGACATCTTTCTTGTGTTCCAGTTTCTTCACACCAACCGTTGCAATTTCTTTAGCACGAGCTTCTTCTAATTTCGCCTCGTACTTTGTCTCATCCAGAAATTCCTTAACGTCGTCCTTTGCGCTTCCAACAGCATGTTTCGCACCTTTAACTATTCCCGAGAGAAAACTGGATCCCTTTTCTTTAGCTTTTTTCGCTTCTTTAGTTGCCTTATCCTTAGCTGCTTCAGCACTATGGGTCACAGTTTCGACTTTTTCTGCCAATTCCTCTTTCACCTTTTTCGTATCATCCTGTACTTCCTTAATAACTGCATCTTTGGTATCTGCAACTTTTTGTGCAACATCCTGTGCTGTTGAATCTAATTTATCACCAACTTTCTTTACTTCTGCTGTCACTTTGTCTTTAGCAGCTTTACCTGCATCTGTAGCCTTTTGAATATCTTCCGAAACTTCTTCAATGACTTTTTCTTTTGTATCTTTCGCTGCAATCATAGTCTTATCCTTAGTATCTTTTATTCCAGCAACAGCTTGATCAGTTGTATCTTTTACACCAGTAACGACAGCATCCTTTTTATGTTCTAATTCTTTCAATCTAGCCGCTGCTGCTTCCTTAGCATGAGTTTCTTCCAGTTCTGCCTCTCGTTTTGTTTCATCTAGAAATTCTTTGACATCGTCTGCTGCGCTTTCAACAGAATGCTTGGCACCTTTAAATATTCCCGATAGAAAACCGGAACCTTTTTCTTTAACTTTCTTCACGTCTTTAGTCACTTTATCTTTAGCAACCTGACTACCATCGGATACAGCGCTTATACCAGATGACACTTTTTCTTTCACCAATTTTACATCATCTTTCACTTCTGTAGCCACTGCATCCTTAGTATCTATAATACCTTGTGCAACATCTTCCGCGGTTGTTTCTATTTCTCCACAAATTTTTTTCGTTTCTGTTACGGCTTTCTCACCAACTGCTTTTGTGGTATCAGTAATTTTATGAACATCTTTGGAAATGTCATCAGTAACTTTGTCTTTTTTATCTTTTATGATAGAAACTGTTTTATCTTTCGTATCTTTCACATCAGCGACAGTTTTGTCTATTACCTCCTGAACTCCGGCGATCGAAGAATCTTTTTTGTCTTTCAAAGTTTTGAGATCAGCGGCCATTTCTTTTTCAGCGCGTTCTTTTTCTATAGAAGCTTCTCTTTTCGTTTCATCCAAGAATTCCTTAACGTCGCCAGATGCATCTTCTACAGCATGTTTTGCACCTTTAAATATCCCGGAAAAAAAACCACTTGTTTTTTCCTTCGTTTTCTTCGCTTTATCTTTTGCACTGTCTACAACTTCCGCGGCAGAATCAGCGCTTGCTGTCAATTGTCCTTTTATCTTCTTTGTATCTTTTTTCACTTCTTTAACCGCTGCATCTTTAATATCTTTGGCAGCTTGTGCAACATCTGTCACGGTATCTTCTACTTTTTCACCGGTTTTTTTCGTTTCTGCTACTACTTTCTCGCCGACTGCTTTCGTACCATCGGTAACTTTCTGCACATCTTTAGAAACTTCCTCGACAATTTTATCCTTTTGATCTTTAACAACAGAAACTGCTTTATTCTTTGCATGTTTCGCATCCTCTGCTGCTTGTTCAATTTCAGTTACTAATTTCTCTTTCACTTTTTTAGTATCATTCTGTACTTCCTTGACAACCGTATCTTTGGTATCCGCAATTTTTTGTGCAACATCTTGTGCTGTTGAATCCAATTTATCACCCACTTTCTTTACTTCTGCTGTCACTTTGTCTTTAGCAGCTTTACTCGCATCTGTAGCCTTTTGAATATCTTCCAAGACTTTTTCTTTTGTATCTTCCGCTGCGGCAACAGTTTTATCCTTGACATCTTTTATTCCAGCAACAGCTTGATCAGTTGCATCTTTTATGCCAATAATGGCAGCATCTTCTTTATGTTCTAGTTCCTTCAATCCAGCCACTGCTGCTTCCTTAGCACGAGCTTCTTCCGATTCTGCTTCGCGTTTCGTTTCATCTAGAAATTCTTTGACATCATCTGCTGCGCTTTCAACAGAATGCTTGGCACCTTTAAATATGCCTGATAAAAAACCAGACCCTTTTTCCTTTGTCTTTTTTGCTCCTTTAACCGCTTTATCCTTAACAGTCTCAGCACTTTCAGTTACAGTTTCAACTTCAGCTGTCATTTTCTCTTTCATTACTTTGGTTTCATCTCTAGGTTCTTTAATGGCTGCATCTTTCGAATGCGAAATCCCATGTGCGATGTCTTCTACTGTTGAATCCAATTTCTCACCAGTTTTCTTTACTTCTAACGCTGCTTTGTTTTTAACAGCTTTGCCTGTATCAGTAGCTTTCTGAATATCTTCCGAAACTATTTTAGTGACTGTATCTGTCGTATCTTTTGCTGCGGCGATAGTTTTATCCTTAGCTTCTTTCATTTCAGCGACAGTTCGATCTGCCGTGTCTTTTACATCACTGACAACAGCATCCTTCTTATGTTCCAATTCTTTCAAATCAGCAACTGCTGCTTCTTTAATACGAGCTTCTTCCAATTCTGCCTCATGTTTTGTTTCATCTAGAAATTCTTTGACATCGTCTGCTGCGTCTTCTACAGCATGTTTCGCACCTTTGAAGATACCAGAGAAGAAACCACCTGTTTTTTCCTTAGCTTTCTTCACTTCTTTCGATGTTTTATCTTTTGCACTACCAACAGCTTCTGCAGCCACATCAATATCTGCTATTAATTTATCTTCAATTTTCTTTGCATCTTCCTTTACTTCCTTAATTGTAGTATCTTTAATGTCTTTGGTAGCATGCTCAACGTCTGGGGCAGTTTCACCTATTTTTTCACTGATCTTCTTCGTTTCTGCTGCTACTTTCTCACCAATTGCTTTTGTGGTATCAGCAATTTTTTGCTTATCTTTGGAAATTTCTTCAACAATTTTATCCTTTTGATCTTTAACACCAGAAATTGCTTTATCTTTTGCATGTTTCATGTCAGCTGTAGCTTTATCTGCAACATCTTTTACACCTGTTGTCGCTGCATCTTTTTTGTCTTTCAAGTCTCTAAGTTCCGATGCAATTTTTTCCTTAGCATGTTCTTCTTCCAATTGAGCATCTCTCTTTGTCTCATCCATAAATTCTTTAACATCGTCAGCAGCATCTTCTACGGCATGTTTAGCGCCCTTAAATATACCAGAAAAGAAGCCACCTGTTTTTTCCTTAGCTTTTTTCGCTTCTTTTGACGCTTTATCCTTTGCACTGTCTGCAGCATCCGCTGCTACATCAATCTTTGCTGCTAATTTTTCTTTCATTAATTTTGCATCATCTTTTACTTCTTTAATTGCTGTATCTTTAGTATCCTTGGCAACTTGTACAACATCTGCCGAAGTTTCCTCTATTTTTTCTCCGATTTTCTTCGTTTCATCTGATACTTTCTCACCAGCTGCTTTCGTAGCGTCTGCAACTTTCTGTGCATCTTTGGAAACTTCCTCGACAACTTTATCTTTTGTGTCTTTTACTGCAGAAACTGTTTTATCTTTTGCATCTTTTACATCGGTGATAGCCTTATCTGCAGCCTCTTGAACGCCAGTAATAACAGCATCTTGCTTATCTTTTAAATCTTTAAGACCTGCAGCAACTTCTTCCTTAGCACGTTGTTTTTCTAATGAAGCTTCTCTTTTCGTTTCCTCCAAGAATTCTTTAATATCGTCAGTTGTCTCTTCTGCGGCATGTTTTCCTCCTTTAAATATACCAGAAAAGAAACGACCTGTTTTTTCCTTAGCTTTTTTCGCTTCTTTTGTGGCTTTGTCCTTTAAGTTGTCCGTAGTTTCTACAGCAGCATCAGCACCTGCTGTCAATTTTCCTTTCACTAATTTTGCATCTTCTTTTATCTCTTTAATAGCTGTATCTTTAGTATCCTTGGCAACTTGTGCAACATCTGCCGCAGTTTCCTCTATTTTTTCACCGATTTTTTTCGTTTCATCTGCTACTTTCTCACCAGCTGCTTTCGTGGTTTCAGCAACTTTACGCACATCTTTAGAAACTTCCTCAACAACTTTATCTTTTTTGTCTTTTACTGCAGAGACAGTTTTATCTTTAACAGCTTTTGCGTCAATGACGGTTTTATCAGTGACGTCTTGAATATTAGTAACAAGAGCTTCTTTTGTATCTTTCAAGTCTTTGACACCTGCAACGATTTTTTCTTTGGTTTGCTCTCGTTTCAAAGTGGTTTCCTTCCTTGTCTCGTCTACAAATTCTTTTACATCATCAGATACTTCTTCTACAGAATGCTTTGCACTCTTGAATATTCCCGAAAGAAAACCACTACCCTTTTCTTTAGTTTTCTTTGATTCCTTAATTACTTTATCTTTCGTAACTGCAGCACTTTCTGCTACAGCATCACTACCTGTTTTTAATTTCTCTTTTGCTGTTTGTACATCTTCCTTTATTTCTTTCACCACGCTATCTTTAACATCTGCAACACTTTGCGTGATGTCATCGACAATTCGTTTTTCATCTGTAACTACTTTATCGCCTGCCACTTTAGTGGCGTCGATAGTCTTTTCGACTTGGTCAACTATTTCCTCAGTAACACGATCTTTCGCTTCTTTCGCTTCGGAAATCATGCGGTCTGTTTTATGCTCCAGATTTTTTAGTTCGGCTTCTGCTGCTTCCTTGACATGCGTTTGCTCTAATGCTGCCTCCTTTTTCGTTTCGTCCAGGAATTCTTTTACATCATCCACTGCGCTGTCCATGGAATGTTTCGATCCTTTAAATATTCCCGAAAAAAAGCCACTAGCTTTTTCCTTGGCTTTCTTCGCCTCTTTAGTTGTCTTGTCTTTAGTGATTTCTACTGAATCCGATATAGATTCAGCTTTGGCAGCTAACTTTTCCTTTATAACGTTAGCGTCTTCTTTTGCTTCTATTACAGCTACATCCTTAATATCTTTCATATCATGTCCAACATCTGCCACGGAAGTTTCTACTTTATCGACTACTTCTTTGGTCTTTGTGACTACGTCATCACGAGCTGCTTTCAAATCATGTGTTGCTTTGTCTATGTCTTTGGCAGCTATATCTGCCAATTTGTCTTTCGTATCTATCGCGATAAAAACAGTTCTATCTTCGGCATCTTTCACACTTTTAATGGTTTTGTCCACGGCATCCTTTGCACTATGCATCATATCATCTTTCTTACGTTCTAATTCTTCCAATTCTTTAGTCGCTTCCTTTTTGGCATCGCTTACATGTTCCTTCACATCTTCAGATATATCTTCCGTAGTGTGTTTTGCACCTTTAAATATACCAGAAAAGAATCCACTAGTTTTTTCTTTGATTTTCTTCGTTTCTTTTGTTGTTTTATCTTTTGCACTTCCCGCAACTTCCGCAGCAACATCAGCACTTTCTGCTAATTTATCTTTTACGAATTTTGTATCCTTTTCCATTTCCTTAACTGCTTCTTCTTTAGCATCTTCCACATTCCGCACGATATCTGCTGCAGTTTCTTCTATTTTTTCACCGAACTTTTTTGTCTCTGTTGTAACTTTTTCACCGGTTGTTTTTGTAGTATCGGCAACTTTTTGTACGTCTTTGGAAAGTTTCTCTGCAATTTTATCTTTCTTATCTTTTACAGTAGCAACTGTTTTATCTTTCGTGTCTTTTACATGAGTGATGGTTTTGCCTATCGATTCTTGAACTTCAGTTGCAACAACGTCCTTTTTATCCTTCAAATCTTTAAGCTCCGCAGTAATTTTTTCTTTAGTACGTTCTTCCTCCAAAACAGCTTCCTTCTTCGTCTCATCCATAAATTCTTTGACGTCGTCAGCAGCGTCTTCTACAGCATGTTTAGCGCCTTTAAATATACCAGAAAAGAAGCCACCTGTTTTTTCCTTAGCTTTTTTTGCTTCTTTTGACGCTTTATCCTTTGCACTGTCTGTAGCATCCGCTGCCACATCAACGCCTGCCGCTAATTTTTCTTTCACTAATTTTGCATCTTCTTTTACTTCTTTAATTGCTGCATCTTTAGTATCTTTGGCAGTTTGTGCAATTTCTGTTGCTGTTTCCTCCATTTTTTCCCCGATTTTCCTAGTTTCATCTGCTACTTTCTCACCAGCTGCTTTCGTGACGTCAGTAACTTTTTGTGCATCTTTGGAAATTTTCTCGACTTTATGCTTTTTGTCCTTTATTACAGAAACTGTTTTATCTTTTGCTCCTTTCCCTTTGTCGACGGTTTTATCCACAATTTCTTGAACTTCACTAACAACAACATCTTTTTTATCTTTCAGATCTTTCAAACTTGCAGCAGCCTTTTCTTTGGCACGTTCTTCTTCCATTTCAGCTTCTTTTTTCGTCTCGTCCAAGAATTCTTTAACATCGTCTGTCGCATCTTCTACGGCGTGTTTTGCACCTTTAAAAATACCGGAGAAGAAACCAGTTGTTTTTTCTTTAGCTTTTTTTGCTTCTTTTGTTGCTTTTTCCTTTGCACTGTCAGTAGCTTCTGCTGCCACAGCTTCAGCGCCAGCTGTTAATTTTTCTTTCACTAACTTTGTATCATCTTTTATCTCTTTGATTGCTGCATCTTTAGTATCTTTGGTAGATTGTGTAACTTCTGCCGCAGTTTCCTCTATTTTTTCTTCGATTTTCTTCATTTCATCTGCTACTTTCTCGCCAACCATTTTCGTGGTATCGGTAACTTTTTGCGCATCTTTGGAAATTTCTTCGACAACTTTATCTTTCTTGTCTTTCATTGCAGATACTGTTTTATCTTTCGTGTCTTTTGCATCAATGATGGCCTTGTCTGTGGTCTCTTGAATTCCTGCAATTACGGTATCTTTTCTATCCTTCAAATCTTTAATATTTGCGGCGACATCTTCTTTAATACGTTCTTTTTCTAATGATGCTTCTCTTTTCGTTTCATCCAAAAATTCTTTGACGTCGTCGGTTGTATCTTCCACAGTATGTTTAGCGCCTTTAAATATACCAGACAGAAAACCACTGGTTTTTTCTTTAACCCTTTTTGCTTCTTTTGTTGCTTTATCTTTCGCAACTTCCGCGGTTTCTGCAGCAACATTGACATCTGCTATCAATTTATCTTTAACTTTCTTTGTATCCTTTTTCACTTCTTTAACTGCTGCATCTTTAGTGTGCTTGGCAGTATGTTCAACATCCGTCGCGGTATCCCCAATTATTTCACCAATTTTCTTTATTTCCGTTGTTATTTTCTCATCAGTTGCTTTCGCGGTATCGGAAATTTTCTGAGTATCTTTAGAAATTTCTTCAACAATTTCATCCTTCTTATCTTTCACTGCAAAGACTGCTTTTTCTTTTGCATCTTTCGTTTCAACAACGGCTTTATCTACAGTCTTTTGAACCTCAGTAACAAGAGTGTCTTTCTTATCTTTCAGATCTGTCAGACTTGCAGCAGCTTTTTCTTTAGCACGATCCTCTTCAAACGCAGCATCCTTTTTCGTTTCATCCATAAATTCTTTAACATCGTCAGCTGCACCTTCTACAGCGTGCTTGGCACCTTTAAAAATACCAGAGAAGAAACCAGTTGCTTTTTCCTTTGTTTTCTTTACTTGTTTTGCCGTTTTATCCTTTGTATTATCTATTGTCACTACAGCAGCATCAGCACCTGCTGCCAATTTTTCTTTCACTAATTTCGTATCTTCCTTTATCTCCTTGATAGCTGCATCTTTAGTCTGCTTGGCAGTTTTCGCAACATCTTCTGCGGCATATTCCATCTTTTCGCCTACCTTCTGTGATTCCGTTGTTACTTTTTCATCGATTGCTTTTGTTGTATCGGTCACTTTTTCAGCATCTTTCGAAACTTCTTCTACAAGTTTATCTTTCGTATCTTTTATTACAGAAACAGTTTTATCCTTGGCTCCTTTTATATCAAAGAAGACTGTGTCTGCAGTTTGTTGAACTTCGGTAACGACTGTATCCTTTTTATCTTTTAAATCTTTAATATTTGCCGCAACTTCTTCCTTAATACATTCTTTTTCTAAAGAAGCTTCTTTTCTTGTTTCATCCAAAAATTCTTTAACATCATCAGATGCATCTTCAGCAGCATGTTTTCCACCTTTGAAGATGCCGGAGAAGAAAACACTAGTTTTTTCTTTAGCTTTTTTCGTTTCTTTCATTGCTTTATCTTTTGTACTATCTGCAATTTCTGAAGCAGCAACAGCACCAGCTCCTAATTTTTCTTTCACTAATTTTGTGTCATCTTTTATCTCTTTAATTACTGCATCTTTAGTATCCTTGGCAACATGTGCAATATCTGCCGAAGTTTCCTCTATTTTTTCTCCGATTTTCTTCGTTTCATCTGATACTTTCTCACCAGCTGCTTTCGTAGCGTCTGCAACTTTTTGTGCATCTTTGGAAACTTCCTCGACAACTTTATCCTTTTGGTCTTTTAATGCGGAAACTGTTTTGTCTTTTGCTTCTTTCATTGTTTCAGCGGTTTTGTCTTTCGCTTCTTTCACTCTATCGGCAGCTTTGTCCACAATTTCTTGAACTTCACTAACAGCTGTGTCTTTTTTATCTTTCAGATCTTTCAAACTTGCAGCGGCCTTTTCTTTGACATGTTCTTCTTCCATTTCAGCTTCTTTTTTCGTCTCATCCAGGAATTCTTTAACATCATCTGTCACATCTTCTGCAGCGTGTTTCGCACCTTTAAATATACCAGAGAAGAAACTAGTTGTTTTTTCTTTAGCTTTCTTTGTTTCTTTTGTCACTTTTTCTTTTGCGCTGTCCGAAGTTTCTGCTGCCGCATCAGCGCTAGCTGCTAATTTTCCTTTCACTAATTTTGTGTCATCTTTTATCTCTTTAATTACTGCATCTTTAGTATCCTTGGCAACATGTGCAATATCTGCCGAAGTTTCCTCTATTTTTTCTCCGATTTTCTTCGTTTCATCTGTTACTTTCTCACCAGCTGCTTTCGTAGCATCTGCAACTTTTTGTGCATCTTTGGAAACTTCCTCGACAACTTTATCCTTTTGGTCTTTTAATGCAGAAACTGTTTTGTCTTTTGTTTCTTTCACTCTATCGGCAGCTTTGTCCATAGTTTCTTGAACTTCACTAACAGCTGTATCTTTTTTATCTTTCAGATCTTTCAGACTTGCAGCGGCCTTTTCTTTGATATGTTCTTCTTCCATTTCAGCTTCTTTTTTCGTCTCATCCAGAAATTCTTTAACATCATCTGTTACATCTTCTGCAGCGTGTTTCGCACCTTTAAATATACCAGAAAAGAAACTAGTTGTTTTTTCTTTAGCTTTCTTTGTTTCTTTTGTCACCTTTTCCTTTGCGCTGTCCGCAGTTTCTGCTGCCGCATCAGCGCTAGCTGCTAATTTTCCTTTCACTAATTTTGTGTCATCTTTTATCTCTTTAATTACTGCATCTTTAGTATCTTTGGCAACTTGTGCAACATCTGCCGAAGTTTCCTGTATTTTTTCTCCGATTTTCTTCGTTTCATCTGATACTTTCTCACTAGATGCTTTCGTAACGTCGGCAACTTTCTGTGTATCTTTGGAAACTTCCTCGACAACTTTAGCCCTTTGATCTTTTAATGCAGAAACTGTTTTATCTTTTGCTTCTTTCATTTTTCCGGCGGTTTTGTCTTTTGTTTCTTTCACTCTATCGGCAGCTTTGTCCATAGTTTCTTGAACTTCACTAACAGCTGTATCTTTTTTATCTTTCAAATCTTTCAGACTTGCAGCGGCCTTTTCTTTGGCATGTTCTTCTTCTATTTCAGCTTCTTTTTTCGTCTCATCCAGGAATTCTTTGACGTCATCTGTCGCATCTTCTACGGCATGTTTCGCACCTTTAAAAATACCAGAGAAGAAACCAGTTGTTTTTTCTTTAGCTTTTTTTGTTTCTTTTGTCACTTTTTCCTTTGCACTGTCTACAGCTTCTGTTGCCGCATCAGCGCCAGCTGCTAATTTTCCTTTCACTAACTTTGTATCATCTTTTACTTCTTTAATTACTGCATCTTTAATATCCTTGGCAGCATGTGCAACATCTGCCGAAGTTTCCTCTATTTTTTCTCCGATTTTCTTCGTTCTATCTGTTACTTTTTCATCAGCTGCTTTCGTAGCATCGGCAACTTTCTGTGCATCTTTGGAAACTTCTTCGACAACTTTATCCTTTTGGTCTTTTAATGCGGAAACTGTTTTATCTTTTGCTTCTTTCACTCTATCGGCAGCTTTGTCCACAGTTTCTTGAACTTCACTAACAGCTGTGTCTTTTTTATCTTTCAGATCTTTCAGACTTGCAGTGGCCTTTTCTTTGACATGTTCTTCTTCCATTTCAGCTTCTTTTTTCGTTTCATCCAAGAATTCTTTAACATCATCTGTCACATCTTCTGCAGCGTGTTTCGCACCTTTAAATATGCCAGAGAAGAAACTAGTTGTTTTTTCTTTAGCTTTCTTTGTTTCTTTTGTCATTTTTTCCTTTGCGCTGTCCGCAGTTTCTGCTGCCGCATCAGCGCTAGTTGCTAATTTTCCTTTCACTAATTTTGTGTCATCTTTTATCTCTTTAATTACTGCATCTTTAGTATCCTTGGCAATTTGTGCAACATCTGCCGAGGTTTCCTCTATTTTTTCTCCGATTTTCTTCGTTTCATCTGATACTTTCTCACCAGCTACTTTCGTAGCGTCTGCAACTTTTTGTGCATCTTTGGAAACTTCCTCGACAACTTTATCCTTTTGGTCTTTTAATGCGGAAACTGTTTTATCTTTTGCTTCTTTCACTCTATCGGCAGCTTTGTCCACAGATTCTTGAACTTCACTAACAGCTGTGTCTTTTTTATCTTTTAGATCTTTCAGACTTGCAGCTGCCTTTTCTTTGAGATGTTCTTCTTCCATTTCAGCTTCTTTTTTCGTCTCATCCAGGAATTCTTTAACATCATCTGTCACATCTTCTGCAGCGTGTTTAGCACCTTTAAATATACCAGAGAAGAAACTAGTTGTTTTTTCTTTAGCTTTTTTTGTTTCTTTTGACGCTTTATCCTTTGCATTGTCTGCAGCATCCGCTGCTACATCAATCTTTGCTGCTAATTTTTCTTTCACTAATTTTGCATCATCTTTTACTTCTTTACTTACTGCATCTTTAGTATCCTTGGCAGTATGTGCAATTTCTGTCGCAATTTCCTCTATTTTTTCTTCGATTTTTTTCGTTTCATCTGCTACTTTTTCACCAGCTGTTTTCGTAGCGTCAGTAACTTGTTGTACATCTTTGGAAACTTCCTCGACAACTTTATCTTGTGTATCTTTTACTGCAGAAACGGTTTTATCTTTTACTTCTTTTGCTTTATCGACAGCTTTATCTGTAGTTTCTTGAGCTTTACTCACAGTTGTTTCTTTTTTGTCCTTTAGATCTTTCAGACTTGCAGCAGCTTTTTCTTTGGCTCGTTCTTCTTCTAATACAGCTTCCTTTTTCGCTTCATCCATAAATTCTTTAACACCGTCAGCTGCATCTTCCATGGCATGTTTCGCCCCTTTGAATATACCAGAGAAGAAACCGCTTCCTTTATCTTTAATTTTTTTCGCTTCTTTGGTAGCTTTGTCCTTAGCAGATGCTGCGGTATCTTCAGCTGATTCAGCCTCGGATGATAATTTTTCTTCCACGATTTTTGCATCCTCCTTTACCTCTGTAATAATTGCATCTTTAATTTCTGTACCTGCTTGTACAGCATCCTTCGCAGTGCTTTCTATTTTTTCACCTACTTTCTTCGTATCTGTTATAGCTTTTTCAGAAGCTGCTTTTGCATGATCCGTTGCCTTCTCTATGTCTTTCGAAATCTTGTCCGAGACTTTTTCTTTCTTTCCCTTCACAATGGACACAATGGTCTTATCTTTAGATTCTTTAATGTCAATAACAGTTCTGTCAACAATGTCCTTCGCGTCTGTTACTAAAGCATCTTTCTTCGCTTCCAGATCTTTCAAGCCAGTGACTGTCGCTTCTTTGGCTCGTGCTTCCTCTAAAGTAGCTTCTTTCTTTGTATCGTCCAAGAATTCCTTGATGTCGTCGGATGTTTCCTCTACGGCATGTTTCGCACCTTTAAATATCCCCGATAGGAATCCTGTACTTTTATCTTTCGCTTTCTTTGCTTCCTTAGTCGTTTTGTCTTTTGCAGCTTCAGCGCTATCGATGACATCGCGTGTTTTTTCTTCTACTTTTTTGGTAATCACGTCTTTACCATCCTTGACAGTTTTACTAACGTCTTCTGCTGCAATTGTGATGTGCTGGTCAACTTTTTTTATCTCTGTTGATAATTTATCATCTTTAACTTTCAAATCTGTCAATTCGCCCATGATACTAGCCATATTCCGTGAATCTTCCAGGAACGCTGTAGTTACTTTTCGTAAGTCTTCATGGCCACTATCTGGCAGTTCGAGCGAAGGTGTCTTCTCCTTAGATCTACTCCTGGATCTGGAACTTCTCGCTTGTTTGGGACTTCTAAATATACCGAAAATGCCACTTCCCTTATCTTTTTCAACAGCTTCATCTTCGGGAATGATAGATTTTTTTATCTTCTCATCTATAGGCGGAGTTCTTGTAACACTCTCTGGTAACTCTTCTTCAGCTTTCTTCAAGTTCTCTGCCATCTGTATTGTATCTTCTAGAAGTTTTGCCGTTGCCAATCGAATGTCTTCGTCTCCGCTATCAAAAGAGGTTTCCTTCGAAGAACTATGCTCTCGGGATCTGCTTCTCTTTTTGCTTTTGAGTTTCGGACTCTTAAACATACCGAAAAAGCCGCCACTCTTTTCTTTGATATCGTCGCTCATCTCTTTTTCCATCTCGGGTGCTTTCGGTTCCGACGTATCGGATTTTACTTCTGTAGCAGGTTTTTCAACATCTTTTTTTTCTTCCTTCTGAATTTTCTCCTTGTCAATGTCCGCTTTCCCGTTTACCTCTTCGTGAATAGTCTTCCCGATCTTTATCGTGGTTTGTACAATATCATATGATTTACTGACTTTATCCGCAGGAATATCGTCATAATGAATGGTCGACACGAAAGTACGTATCTCTTCTTTGGGAGTGACTTTTGTTCCATCGCTTTTGTATACAATCGGTAACACGCTAGAGTCAGCAACCTTCCGCGTATCATCCAAGAGTTTCTCCGTTACAGTTTTGATTTCCTCATCGCTGTCAAAGGATGTCTCCTTCGATTTGAGCTTTTTGTCCTTGGATTTTGGACTCTTAAAGATGCCGAAGAAGCCACTCTTCTCCTTTACTTGATCTTCTTCCTTTTCGTCATCCTTACTAGGTGGCTGTTCATCCGTTGAAATGATCTTTGTTTTGCTTTTAGTATCCTCGATAATTTTCGCGTCAGTTTTCACAGCTTTTTCCGTTTCTTTTTCGATTATGCTAGGCACTTCGACAATCTGAGATGCTTCGGTCTCTTTCTCCTTTTCCTTCATTTGTAATTCCAATAATTCCTCGTTTTCCTTTGCGATTGCTGCCAGCTTTTTCTTCTCTTTTTTTGCGATTTGTTCTGCGGATTCTTTAGGTTTCTCAACATGAATAACAGGTAAGATAGATCCATCTTCATCTTTTTTAGATTTACTTTTAAACAAACTCGAGAAAAAACTCGTCTTATCTTTACCGTCATCATCGGTCTCAGTAGCCTCTGTTTTTTTGTCTTCTTTCTCTATTGGCTTAGCAAGGCCTTCGTAAGGTACATGCATGCCTGCAGCGATTCGTCGAGAATCTTCTAAAAATTCCACAGTAGCTGATCTTACATCGGGTGCAGTTGTGATTTCTGGTAATCTGCTGTCAAAATGCGAATCCGTTACTTCGGTAGAAGGAAATTCTGGCTGCTGTTCAGAAACTTTCGTTGTTAGAACAACCTTCGATTCCTCGTCACTGTCAAAGGATGTGTCCTTTGAACCTTTCTTGCCTCTCTTCAATTTGGAGCCCTTAAAAATTCCCGAAAAAATTCCGCCGCTCTTATCCTTTGTTTTCTTCTCGTCGTCTGATTTTTCTTCCGTGCTGTCTGCCGAATGCGGCACATTGTAAACATCTTCATAAGCTGTTTTCGCAATCTTCGTAACAGTCTCTTTATCCTTCTCCTTCTCCTTATCTTTATCTTTATTCCTGTCTGCTGGAGTTTTTATTTCTGACTTCTTTTGATCAGTTTGAATTATTGTGTCGACCTTTACTGTTTTTTGCGTAACAATCGCGTCCGTAGGAACTGCACCTAACTTTTCATCGACTTCCTTACCCTCCTTAGATAGTTTCTCTTTCTCGCTAACAATGTCTTTTTTATCGGGGGAAACTATTACCGTTTCTTTCGTAGTCACAGTCTCAGTCGGAGTCTGTTTTATTACCGTAGTCTTAGTTACTACTGTCTGACCTACTTTCGGATCGCCACTAACAGAAACTATTGTTTTTGAAGTGCTAACTTTGGGATCCGGCATCCCACCACGATGCTGTTTAATCATCGGCGGTTCGATACTAGGAATTTGCTCTAATTTGGGAACGAAACCTTTCGGTTCGGTGGCCACTTGATCTAAATGAACATTAATTACAGTCTGCCCTATTGCACCCCGCGCCTCTTTATTGTCCCGCGCATCATCATCATCATAAACCACCGACCACCCTTCCTTCGCTAACTTCCCCTTCTCTTTCTCTGCGTCTGCTATTACACCTGTTAATTAAGTATAATATATTTTAGGCATCTGTATACGTGGTAGCAAAATAAAGGAACACAATTTTATTGTCAATTTCGTCATCATTAGTGTAAGCTGGCTCGCTCTTTGATTGCTCTTTTGATAGAACTGCGGTTAGACTGTAGTAGTGTGGTTTGTGCGTGGAGTGTATGTGCTGTGGAGCAGCCATCTTCTCATCGTTATATACGCAAGGCAAATATGATTCAAGAAGGAGAAGTAACATCAATTGCTACCAACAGTCAATACTGGTGCAACGTACATACGTACTTTGATTTTTCAATAAATTGTATTGAAACGTTCTCAGTAGCTTGCAATTTCGAAATGTTTTTCTGTGAAAATACTACAATTAGTATTATAATATTAACTGTGAAATAAACGCTAAAGGTACTAAAATGAAGCTGTTAGAGAATATAAATTCGACATATATTCAGCTTCACAAAGAACTCTTGATTACTGTTTTAAGTGAACAACAACAATCAATTGCTATTAGTAATGACTTTAGTAATTTTTAATCTATCAGTTATAAGTAAAGGAAACGATATTCTGATGGCCTACGCGACAACGATCTTTTCTAATGACAGCTGCTCCGTGCGCGCACACAATTAGGCCCACATATTGGCCATTCATGCAACGCCAAATAATTGCAGCGAAACCTTGCTGAAACAAATTAATCTAAAAGTGTTCGCGAAATATTAAGGATATTAGTGGGGATGATTAAATGAGGTATATAAAAATTATTGTATATAATATACGAGTATAAGTAACAGCTGTTTGAGATAGGCCGAGATAAAATAATCCGTTATTTATATTAAAGTAAAAGCAAGCTGGTAAAATTCTGAAGAGATCCGCATTGGCTTCCAGAACCTGTGAGTGGACGGCGTAGAGACAAATGTTTAGTGCTTACGTACGTTACTTGCACTCTGCAAACGTACGTTGTTCTTTACAAGCTGAGACAAATTTTATGCATTGACGTGAATCGTGTCCACAATCATAATAATAATATTCCTTATTCATTGTATTAGCATTTATTCAACCGCAACGTTTCGCTGAAATAAGATCGTGCACACTGTTGAATACTTACGTACAAAAAAATTAAAGCTTGCATCATAATGACGATAATAAGTCACAAGTGAAAATTCAATATACGAAATTAGCATTGAAATATAGCTGCTTAGAAACTACGTTATTGGCATATAATAGTCTATACGCCAATACAATTAAAAGTAATTATGTGCATTTGTTGTGACATAACTGCATAACGGTAACATGTATCATTTTTACAAATGAAGAAATAATATTCGTCTATAGGAATGTACAAGAAAATTCATCGAAAAACAGTATCATTAAGAGAAAAGACAATAATGCTAAACGCGCAAATAAATATATAAAGCTATTTGAGAAACATAATTGTACATCTCGTGCATTATTTGAAAATTTTTAAGCGAGTAGACTTCATAACTATGAACACGATATCACTAAAAAGGAAAGGTATCTCCGATCTAATGAGGTTTAGCGAGTTCGGCGAAACGTAGTTCGTCGACAAATGGTTAATACGAGTAAGTCGATCCCTTAGGATCAAGCGTGCGCCCGCAGCATTAATCCAACCATGCTGCTGAATTTATAGTATATGTATGTATAAATGCGTAATCTCGATTTGGCGACGTAACTCCGCTAAAACTCGATTAATGGCTGCCGATTCTTTGCCAGTAGTATTATAAGCACGGCCCCTCAACCCGCACCGTTCATTCCAATCGCTTTCAAGCTCACTTACCAGAGACTATCTTGTTGGCATCGGCAATCGCTTTCTGACGTTTTTTCTCCGGATCGTCCACTTCGTCGCGCGACTTTTTGCTCATCGTGTCGGTCGTATGGCATTTGTGCTCAAGGTAATCAGCCATCATGTCGCTGAGCTCTTTCTCGTCGCTCGCATATTTGTCTTTGATGGGGGTCGAGGTTCCGTTGAATACAGTGCCGTTTGTGATTGTGATGTGCTCTTTGGCTGTGAAGTGCAGAAAATGCGTAAACGAAGAGACATGGAGGTAACATGAGCTGATGTGAGACATTGCATGACGAATGTAATGGATATATGTGGCCACAGTAAAATTGCTCGGCAAGCGTTGACTAACACGTTTTCTAAGTAAGCACGAGTAAAAGTGTTCGTTCTGTGTATTTGACAACTATATAACACGCGTTGTGGCGTAGCGTGCATCATTCATTCAAGTATTGTGAGCCGTGACGTCACATTTTTTATTGCAATATGTATTGTAGTATAATAGAAGAAAAATGTATAGTATTGAATAATTTTTGACAAATTGTACATGTAACGTTAAAACGCAATGCAAGAGCGAGTAATAATAAAATTAAATTTATAGATATTACTATTTGTACTTACGTTTATCGTGTGTGCCAGTGATACTGAGATCTTCCATTGATTCAGAGTCCTGGAATAAAAAGAGAATTGCGCTTTATCTTGGTGATTATAAGAATCCCACGCTCTTGGAGAAGTAGTTATTTGAGTAAATTAGTGTTATGTATAAGCCTTTTAACTGTTGTAGCATACATAAAAGAGCTATTACGAGATATAAAGTGAACGGATAATATCTTCTTCAATTGCACTCAATAATAGTATTCGTTAGATAACGAGAATAAGGTCAAACGATAAAATAGCATCTTTTATTAATAATAATTTGTTTTTTTGCATGACGATTTGAATCACAATTATGCATGTAAATTCTCTCTCTCCCAGATTTGCATACAGTGCGCACCTTCATTCTGTCAGACTCTTCATAATCAGGGTCCATTTTAGGATCCATAGTTGCATCACGGCGGAGTGACGTGTCTCTCGACGGTCCCAATTCCTCCTTAAGAGAATCAAATCCTGGCTGATCCAGTCTGACTCTCGCCACAGCTTTTTCAACGTCGTCAGTCACTAACTCAACATTGAAGATACATTTGTTCACTATATCTTCTCGTCCGATCTTATTGAGAGCTTTTTCTAATGTGTTTCCTGCAAATAAAGGACGTCACGTGATATTTCAATCATCAATATGATTTTTATATATTTTTTTTAAGTATACTACAAATCAATATATTATTAATATTTATTTTAATACATGTAATGTTATAAATTGTTTTATATGTATTTTAAATATTACAAGTGTTAAATAATTTTAAAAGCAAGGATACGTTTACAAGGATTCGATATTTGTATTAGGTGTTGGAATTAATTCGTAGCGTTTTTTAATGAAAGAATGTTATTTATTTCACATGAGCATTAAAAAATACATTAATGAAAGTACTTCCCATCACTTGTAAAACGCTACGAATTAATTCCAACACCTAATATCATTAAAATTTATAGTCAATTATATTCTTATTCACTTTCTTTTAATTTTACACAGACCTGAATGTATTGCATTTTGCAGACGTAGGCAAGGACTTCTTCGAAATATTATTAGGAGTTCGCTTGTATAATGATTATGATTTTCATATTCTTGATATAAAGTTATAAACATCGTTTTCCTTTTTCTATTTATATATTTATATATTTTTTTAAATCAAAATAATTAAAATTTAACAAATTTAAAACAGAATAATCTTAAAACATGTATTATTTTCCCGAGAATTTTTCCGCGAAAAATATATCGAAAAAATATTAAACGATCTCGGTAATATAAATTCACATAAATATGGAGTAATTCGGCGATACGTAATCGGTATAAATAAAGAAGTGACAGAATTTAATCACTTTCACTGCACGACTGCCGATCACGTACTGCGGAATCACGACCAGTTGTTATTTCTGCTGATTGCAGAAACACCGTGAGTTATGTGCGAGTCAATGCCATTAGCAGGAAGAAAAGAGAGGGAACGAAGCGTGTAGACTTATGTCAGGCATAATAATGCACAATGAGATCATCACATAACTACGTTGTTAGAAAAGATTCCTCACGCCTGACTCAACTATAGCGCGCGTGTTTAATTAATTGACCTTGCTGAGAAACAGGTTTTTTTAAAAGTTATCAAGGCAAGCTATCGCAACTCTTATTCGAAAATTAACATGCTACGTTTTGATGATACAAAGGTAAATTACATAATGTCTCACCTGTGGCTTTATTTCCACTGTTTTGCCAGATTTTGAACATGGCAGCGGCCTGTTGTGCAGGTTTATCGGGATATTCTTGTTTTATTAGAGCCACGTCGTTAGGTGGGATATTCAATTCTTCCGCTAATGGTTCCCAATCTTTATCCAATAGATTGGCAATGTCTGTTAATCGAATGGTCGCTCTATGTATTGTATCTGGTCTGCCTAAAAATAATATTTAAATAAAAAATAGTGTAAAATAGAAAATTTTGATAACAAATGTCGTTAATAATTAATTTTCATTTTATTACGCATCACACACGTTATTGTTATAGTTTACACATACTTATTCCACCATCGCGTAGAAAACTGTAGTTCTTTGACAATTCCAATAAATCAAGCTCAGAGACCGCGGTATCCGGAGAAATTTTTTCCGGCAGCAAAATATTTAGTGTGCAGATTGGCGTTTGCGGCAGTTCACCTCTCGGAACCTTAGGTTCGCTCATAAACATGATTCGACCCATCATATCAGCGGCATCCGGATCTTTTATTCTCGCGGTAAACGGAACTCTATTTTCCTTGAAAGCTCTAAACGGTAATTGCAGCTGTTCACCCGTTTTCAGAACGGGTACAAGATTTCCCGAAAATTCCATGTATTGCGTTTTTCCTTCAAGAACCTACAGCATTAAAAAAGATTTAATGACATCTTAAGTAACTAAGAAGACTACGCATAATTCACGAACACTTTAACGGCATTTTTATTATCGACAATTACCTCGACGTCTCTACTTTTCGCAACTTCTGTAAAATGTTCCTGATGCTCTAAAGTTTTGTCTTCTTTATCGTCCGTCATACAGAATACACGTAATCTCGCTTCCAATGGATCTACTCGTTTTGCAAACACGACGAATCTACCGTAAAGCAAGTATCAAAGTAATTATTTCCTATATAATTTGCAACTATGTAATTTATTACTGAAAATTCATATATGTCACGTCACATCAGTCGAAACGTACTTAGCCATAAAGGGCACATGTGTCGCGTGCGTATATAGTTCCGTGGCCATTTTCGTGGCATCGGAAATGTTACGGCAGTCCATTAACCAGAAGCGGGCGGAAACTGTGGTGGTGAAGGAAACGCAATCTTTCACAAAGGTCAACGGCGTCGAGCCTGTGACGTCCTCCCAGACTGCCCGAGTCTGACCCCCTGAACGACATACATGCCAAGTCCAATAACATTATTAAAATATGTCCGTGTTGCAAATGCGCAGGTGATAAAAGTGAAATGTGTGTGGTATATTGTTGCACGACCGAGATTAAATACGAGCAATTAATTAAATACAAATCAGTGCTTATGTATAAATAATGTTGGACATATTAATAATAATAATTCAAATCAGACAAAGGAAACTTCGCATTTAAAAATGGTCGCTGTAAGTGCGCTGTTGTTAGGTGCTTTTTATCAATGTGTGAGTATAATATAAAAATAAATAGATGATCGACTAAATGATAATGCTTGCAAAATCAAGAGAAAGCGTTTTATACGAAATGTGTAGAAAGCAATTATAGGTGTATGAATTTAAGATAAAAATTAAGTGATAAATAGGAAAAATACTATAAAGTATTAATCAATATGTATTTGTCATTTTATTAAAAAAAATTATTAAAATAGTGACATTAAAATTTTAAAAGAAAGATAAAAAATCACAATTATGTATTTTTTTCTGGGACCGATTTTAGGGGTAAATAGTAATATTAATACTTGAAATATATTCTTAATAGATTAAAATAAAGTTAAATGCGATAGTATTCAGTGTATATGTAATATTGTTATATAAATCTTTTTAGATTATATGATTGGGTATTATAAAGGACATTATATATAATCCCGTATATACATATACATATACCTATATAGGTATATGTACATATATCACGAGTATAACTTCATATAAGTCACAAATTACTAATATATTAAAGCGATTACCAGACAAACGAATGTGCTGAAACAAAAACTTTAAAGTTAACTCTTAACAATGGGCTAGGTATAGTAAAATGTTATCTACTTTAATTGATAATCCATACCTAAATGACTCAATCCTAACAATATGCAAGCATTAACAATGAATCACAACAAGATATGTATACAATAATGATACTCAACGAAATGTTTCTATGAAACATGCAGCTACCATCTCCCTTTTAAATCTCTATCCGAAGATCCTCGGGACATTTCTCGATAATGGATAACAAAAGAAATTATTTAAAACAAAACATGACATATCTTCCAACATTCACATACATAAATCGATTTTTCTCATTTAAATGAAAATGTTTAAGTGAAAAATCATACTGGAACATGTTTACACGCTGGTGCAAGTTAGGAATCGTACAGACATTTACGTTTACCATACTAAACATAAATGAGTTACAAAAGTGCTGCTACCATTTAAGCAATCCTCTCGTGCAACGTACGATACTTGGTTCGATCGTAGTCCCGAGCGACCTGAGAACAGATAAGATAGCCTACCGACTGCTTTCATGCTTGCTAAACTACAATTAAATCCCCGAATAGATACCCGAATGCGCAATGTAAGTTCGGCAAGAGCATATATGTACACCAAAGGTGTATGCGGCGTATAATATTAATTCAGCCGTTTATCGGTAAGAGATTTTCCAGTAAGACGGTACGCTGCTCTACAATGTTACGTGCAAGCATATATTACCAGTTATGCTGCACAGGAGTCTCAAAGTCGGCGCATCTCCGGAATACTGGTTGATCATGCCTTTATTAGCCGCCTGTGGTACTGGAATAGTTAAAGTTATCGGCTTGTGGAACTTTCTTCGTCTCGGTTCGACGGTAACAATCGGCGACACAGCCACTCTATTTCCAAGTAATTTGGCCACCAGATCCGCCGGTATAGGATGTGCCTATATGTTACAATAAATAACTTGTGGAAAGGTCTAGATCTGGAGAATATTATTAGATATAATAAATTAATTATTTTTGCTTTTTAAACCAAAAGTTTTAATTTCTTAATTTATAGAGACGCAGGCGATTAAAATTTTAAAATTAAAAAATGATCAATTTCTTTGCCTATGCAAAGTAAAAAATGATTAATTTCTTTACCTATGGTAAGTATCTAAACGTATTTAAATGCCAAAGACGCAGATGGGAATGTAAATATAATATATTTAATCGATGAAGGGAAACGGAAAAATACCTGCAGACCGACTCTGATCTTCTTAGTAAGGGCCGCTTGCGGGAAGACAGCTTGTACTTGTGGTACAGCGGATGACGACACGGTGCCGCCTTCGGGACCAACCGCATGGACCTCTTGCCGGATACGAGATACTACTGCGAAGTAATGTGGGAAATCTACAGTGAGTATCCTTACGATACGAGACGTTTGGAGATCTTCTAGCTGGCTTAGCTCTGAAAATGCAAATGTCAGTCAATGATGGTCCTTTAACTCAATGTTTGTCCTATCACTTGGAAATCGTAGAAAGGAAGTTGCTTGAATCATACCTTCTCCTTCAAAGCTCTCGTTAAGCACATCTTGTACAGCCTCCTCGCTGGCTTCCAAGGTATGCTCGCGCCAGGTCTCTCCGTTGTCTGATCGTAGAATTACTATTTCTCGTTCCTTTCCGCGCAGCGACGCGAAATGTGGTACTTCTATGATAACAGGGCTGTACAAAAACGTGTCTTAACATTTGAAAAGGATTTGTCGTCATAATCATCGACTGTATAATAAAATTATTCTAAAAGGCAAATCTTCGGTTATACTTTATACTTATTGTTAGTTACTACGGAAATACGCAATAAGTATAAACCGAAGGTAGTCGAAGCAGAAAAATAAAATCATAAAAGATGTTTGAGGAACATACCCCAGGAATTTTGCACCGACGGGACCTAATTCGAGGATGCGACTGGCCAACGCTTCTCCCTCCATCAGGGGAGGTGGGTTTGTCAATTTGTCTCTCCTCAGGTATCTACAAGTGACGCGCATAGGCATTGCGGCTTTACGCGGTGGAACAATCACGCGGACGCCACTATGTCTGCATCCGCGCATCGCACCGCCTCTTGCGTCCACCAAGAAGGAAACCAAGAAGCTGAGGAGATTTTGAGAATATGTTACATTCGTTTACTTATGACATATTATAAGAAATCGTCCGGAATAATATAAAAAATTGCAATAAAAAATTACATTATATATGTGGAGGCTGCTTGCAAGAGATGCACACAGTCAAGGTCTATTTTAGGTACGCAAAAAATACGTGTGTCCTCGACATTACTTTCGCGCGCGTGCTATTGTTTCGTTGAGCTATTAAAGCGTTTACAGCAATTTACTTTAATTTCCATATGAAAATAGAACAAATTTATTATACATTATTTGCATTCTGAAAAATCCCGCTGTAAACGATATAAAAAAGTTAGAGAATAGATTGTTATGTTTGCAATGTTTGACCACAATTTCATGGAAATCACAATAAACAAATACCACAGTAAAAAATAAAGAATTGAGCTTATATATGTGATATAATTCTAACATCAATGTCAGTCACAATGCACTGTATAACTCGTAATTAATTATTACGAAAAGTGCGCAAAGCCAGAAAGCATAATCCTCGAGAAATTGTACTATATAAGCGTGATATCTGTGAATCGGAGATTATGACGATCTTATGAAATTATTGTTAAAATTTAGAGACAATGCACTTTGATCGCGTTATATACATGATATTATCGACTGTAACGTGTCTTTCCTACAGTGACAGTGAGATAATTTGTGATGAAATAATTTAACTACATTCTACCGACACCTAATTGTTGTGCGTAAATATAATTACTTTGGCTTAATGTAATGTGAATAAGATAGATTATACAACAATAAGGGATGTATAGCAACATAAGATATAAATAAAACAGCTATCTATACAGGTCGAATTCATGTGGACATTTCTATGAGATGACAACGAGCTATACAAGGTGTTCGTATATATATATAGGTGGCAAAATAAGAGATAAATAAAACGGCTACATATGTAGGCCAAATCTATGAGTATTCCTATGTGAGATGTCTATCATATGGATGTGATACAGTCGCAAGCACCAAACTACCGACATTGAACGCAACGAAAGTGTCATCTAATTCGATTAAAACAAATTGGTTTCATTCAGTCTCTCTCAAACTACCGCATACAACGATGTCGGTGCCGAGAATCTCACTGATAAGCCTGTGAAGTATTCACAAGAGAATTGTGCAATGTGTGTACAGTACATCACGCAGCGGACATAAGCTCAGTAAGGATGTTTTCCACGATATTGACACTTGGTGTCAATTGTTCAAATATGAAGTTATCGAAGAGTAGCCGCAGTTAATTTGTTTTTCATTTTAAATTCCATCTAAATTCGTCGACGCCCCTGTAAACCGTATGTATGTTTTTACTGAATAATTTATCGCCGTAGAAAATATTCGAGATAACTGCAAGGCATACGTGCTTGCTGTTTCAATGTGCACTTTTTCATGTCAAGTTTTACTGATTTCTTGAGAAATTAAATTTATTTTATGACTCATCTTTCATTAAACGAGCTGTGTTTGCCGAGCGATGTATGATGTACGACATTTCTAAGAATAATAAAAGTCAGCGACTACAGAGGGTTGTGCGGCGACATATATAGGCTGTGTGTAACGACGGAAGGAAGAATAATCGAAAGAAAATCAAGAGGATGATGTATATACACGGCAAACTGCAGAAGCTAAGATTGATGAGAAGATCACTTACTTTCTCCACTGTGGAATTCTGCTAGTAGCGCAAATAAAATAACAGAGAGGATCGGGAACAAAATAAAAAACGCGTTAGTATTCATTCGTTCATAAACATGATGATGAGATGACATAATAAAGAGATGATATATCGCTAATATTAGCACACTTTTACAAAATTTTTGTTCGTAACATTAAATTCAATTAACACGAGACATTTGATTCGTCATGTGATTCTTTTTCTTCTTAATCTCTTTTGATTCATTTCCATTGTGTTTCGTTTTCGTAAAATGTGCTCCTGTTCATGATAATAATAATAATAATAATAATAATAATAATAATAATAATAATAATAATAATAATAATGATAATAATAATAATAATGATAATGATGATGATGATGATGATGATAATTGTTGCTGATCATTTCGTAAAGTGCACTCATCACACGCAAGCCACTTTTCTATTGTACACGACTACGAAACAAGAAATAACAATAATAATTATGTATTATAGTAGAGAGAAAAACGTAACGCACTCACACTCTGCGAGAAAGAAGACACGTACTTCGAGGAAAGAAACTTAAAATAATGACGCTCCGAAATCTGTTGTGATCTGGAACAGTGATCGTCCTCGACTGTACACGAGAATTCGAGTCCACTTAAACTGCATCTCTTCAAAATTATTAGCAAACTAATTAACGCAACAGATTCCGTTGCGCGTAATCCGCGCGAAATAATTTAACTTAAAATAATTATACAAGAGAAAAACATCCAGTAGCAGCTATTGCAACGTTGAAATCTTCTTTCTACTGTCTACTATTTAACAATTTGTTGGAAGAACGATTCTTTTTTTTATAAATATTAACATGCTTAATATCCTGTCATTCATTTTTGGACAGATCACTACAACTGTATACCATTACTTTTATTAAATAACCAATATAATTTTCTTTTTTTACAGATATTATTAATATGTTTTGTCACTAGTAATAGTAACAATTTGCATAATAACAATTTGTCATTATGCAAAAAAATTCATAAAACAAGAACACTCGTTTATCAAATTCTGCAGGAAAGGGAAGATAACGTAAAGGATGGTGTACCTGTCCCTCCACATCCCTTGTCCCTTCGGTGCGGTACTGAGAGCTGCCAGCGAGGTGCATAGGGACTCTAGGGATTCGCTATTCTCAAAATAAAACCGAGTTTGATTATCCGAATAATAATCTTGCTTATCATGCTCATGCTATCTCGCTCATATAAGTAACACTCTTTTCTGTTGTCATTGCATTCATTTTTAGTCATTACAGAAGTGCCCTGTGCTTTTCTTTTAAATATATAGTGTCACGTGCAGAAATAATTCGATCAAGAATGTTGCATCTTAATTAAACAGATAGGCGAAATAATGATCAAGATTTTCTACATAAGAGGAAATAATTTCATCATTGCGGATATTCTTTACTCTGTTCAAATCAGCCAGGCGATTAGTACAAATTGCCAGTGATAAACGAAAGTACATTGATCAAAGAATCGTTCGTCCAAGTGAAATGTGAAAAACAGCATGCTAAACACTAAGTAATCGAACTTCGCTACAAACAAGCAGGCTGTAACCAGAATATCAAGCGTTCTTGTTGAGCTGGTTGAATGACTGTAAATTATCGCAAATCTTGTCACGAATATTAAGTACAAAACAAATCGTAGCACAAAAAATTTATTATGAACAATATACTATCACGTGTTTCGATACTACGTTTATTACGTTGTGTTACGATCTTATATGATTATGTCTCACAGTAACAAGTTAACTTATATACATATGTATATATTAAGAAATAAACGAACGAGAGTATATATTTCGTGAGAATTGAAATATTTAAGCTAAATTTTCATACATGTGGCACATTATTTTTCTTTCTATATTGGACACATCGAAAAAGTATTTTCTAAAATAGTTTTAAGTTAATGTATACCACAATATGTAACCTAATACAGACTTGAATTAGGCAAATATTGCACACGATTTGAATAAAATATCATTTATTATGACATATGAATATTAGGCACAGACAAGCTATCAACGATCGTGTGTTGATAACAGTGACGTAAAAATATAAATCTTTAGGCTCAACATGAGAATAAATATGAAATCATTTATATTGTGAAATTTATGTACAATCATGTGTACATTTTCATCCAGATTCGCAAAATGCATAATTTTATTCTTTCAATATTTTTTTTCACATAATATTTCTTCACTTTAATATTTCACATATTAATATTTTACAAACACGTTCATTCTATAATGTTTTATTTATAATTTTATCAACAATAATAATAAATAATCTCGATTAAAGAAACAATGTCTAAAATATAATAAGAGTAAAGAAAATTATCGACCATCATATTGCTTGTAATTATATAAAATCTGTTCTGTTACCAATTATCTGCTACCGATATTCTGCTACCAATTGTCAGAAATTAAGATGATCAAATTAAAGTAATGAGTAATTCATTAAGTGGCCAATCCATTTGTAGGGTTAATCACAGCAGAAAACTTTCATCAACACACAAACTACATCATACTATAATACACATCATTATTGTTTCGTAGCATCAATACAGCAATGATCGCGATATGTATATCGGAATACAAGGCCGCGTAATATATCATGGATTGCATTTCCCGTAATATTAGATTAGATAATAATTTTATCCCACCTAAAATTAAAAATCCCCATAATTTACAATAGAAAAAGATTGGTGCGTGTAAAACTGAGCGAAATTTTGACATTAAATCAATACCAAGAAACTATTTTCTTATTATATTACGTTGAAAATATTAAAGTCTGATCTCTAAAATCTCTTAAATCTCTAAAATCGAATAAGAGAACAAAATATTATATTTGTTTTGTTTACTCGAGACTATAATAACGACGATTTTCTTAGAACAATAATAATCGTTCCAAGCTGCTTCGTATATACATACATTAATAAAGTTTTCAATTTTACACATATGCAAGACACTTTTCTCACTGTCGAATAAATTCAAATCCGTAAATATTAAATCATCAGTAACATGCGTCAAATTTTGAGCATGTCGTAATATTATAATTTTAATATTATATATGCTTATTACGGCACACCATGCAATTATAATTTGATCTTGCTGATTAATGTTTTTTTGAATTAATTATCTTAATTATCAATAGAAGGAAATAACATTTACTTTGAAGTTAAATCAGAAAAAATTATTACGATCATGAACACTTAAAAAAACCCTTTATACATTGTTATTATGATTTAATCGAGTATTAAAAACTTGAAATTCAATAATATAATATTTAGTAAAATTTGTTGCACAACTTTTCAATACAATGCGAAAAATATATCTTTTTGGGCTTATATTGCAGAATTTTAATAAAATTCTTAAATAAATCATATAATCGTCAATAATGAAATTTCGTCATTTTAAATATCCTTTATTTTAATTTTAATTAATAATGCTAAAATGAGATAGAAAAAAGTAGATGTAAAGTATTACATACCCGACGTGCACAGGATGTCTATTGATGTCTACATTGTCTGGTTTAAGATTGGCCGCGTTTGTACGTTGATAATGTTCTTTCGTAATCATCTCTGTTATGGTTGGCGCTAGAAAACACATTGCCATGCACGTTAAATTTATTTTCCGAGGATGAGCTAATCTGATTAATGCAATGTGCAGAATAATCGAACGTTCGATTCTGCGATATATTAAGTAGCGGAATATTAAGTGCTGCAAAACATACAGCTACTATCTCGCGTTCCTCGTGTAATCTACCAATATAGCAAAATTATCAAATTATCAGTAGAATTATATAAACAATGGATAAGATAGATAAAATCGCTTAAAAAATAATATCGCGACAGAGAGAATATGTAAATGTAGAATAAATTCCAAATCTAATTTTTCGCAAAATCACTAATAACTAATGCAAAAGACTCGAAAGCACAGATAACGACTTGATGATATTATTCTGATATCTGGCAAAACATGAGGACCTAACTATATGTTTGCTTACCTCCGGAATGTCGATTATCTCTCTCGTCGTCCGTCACATTCACGCGCATCGAGTCATCCCCCATGGACTTCATGTCATCAACAGTCATGTATCGGTACTGCTGTTGGTCACTGAGCATTGGATCTTCACCTGCGATAAATATTAGACTTAATAATGTAAACAGAATGATACAGATATGTTCGTGAGAGAGAAAGAAAGAGAGAGAGAGAGAGAGAGAGAGAGAGAGAGAGAGAGTCCGAGGAGACGAATAAGACTTTCATACTTTGAAATATTGTCGAGTTGTAAAATAAATTGTACGATATGTGAAGATATATTCTCTACGAAAATATGCGTACAAGTGAGAATGTGAATTATGTGAGTCTGCAAATAAGGAAGAAACCATCGCCAAGTACGTTGCAATGAAGCTAAAAAAGCGATATCTGTAGTTTGATGTTTCTGTAGGGGAGCACGTGGCTCTAATGATTTAGAACTTTTGCTAAATAAACCAAAAGTGTGTACGACCAGATTTAGTTCTATTAATTCTTGTATGTACGAAACAGAAACATTATCACATCGTTGGATTAAATACATCGGGAGGTTTTAAATTATTTCAATAATGTTTTTAAGTGTTTTCAAATCGCAGACACCATTCGTTGATCCGAATGGAAAACAGAGCTGTTATTATATTATATTATGCAGTTATAATGGTTACGTTTAGTCTTGGAAAGGATCTGAGCCACTTACAGCGTTGCTTCAATCTTATTTATCTTTATCGTATTAACAAAAAATTATTGCTAAAATATACTCTCCTTCTCAAACAAGATATTTGTGTAACCACATTAATTGTAAGTCACAAAACTTTGTAATTTATACATTCTGCTTTGAACATCTGATGGTACGAAAGAAAGAAATTAAGCTACACGATTTAAATGAATTTAATAACAATGCGACAAAAGCAGAATGAGATTATAGAGAATTCAATTATAAAGAACAATTGTCTCGTACGTAATGAAACTAATCATAAATGCAATGATGAAATTATAGAAGCGTTTATTAAAATTAGTAGCATTTTATGGATAAAGTTACACTTAAAATGAATGAATTTTTTCTGTTGCCCACTTAATACGAATGTAATCAAAATTCAAAACCACTCTCATATCAGATATTTCCTTCAATTTTATATTTATATAAAACGAACACTCGTTAATGACGTCTAATAAAGATCAGGCTTCAGCCAATTTTATTCAAAAAACTGGAGAGGAGGAAAGTGTGTGGGTGTCGCGTAACTAACGACAGGGTGTCACGAAACACGTCATACCTTCTATGAATTAGGGTCACGGTTAGGTACACCTCACACCCAAGTGACACGCATAAACGAATGTTATTCGCGGTAAGATGGAGGAACGTATACGAACCGTATCACATTTTTTATACGACTGAGACGCTCGCTTTATGAGCCTGCGTTATCAGATGTTCCAAGAATGTAGGCCATGATTATCTAATGAACGGTCAGCCTACAAATTCACCTCCCACAACGTATTTCGTACCGTTACTACCATAATTACAAATTAACTTCGCGGCTTAATGCATGCAGATTGAGAATGTTCCGAATTGGAAAGAAACCTCAACGCATTAATTGTTTGACAACCGCATTTTTTCTTAAGAATTATTCCGATAAACATTGTATTTTTCTCATCTTGGGTATCTCTCTTGTAAGAATTATTATCTCTTGAAATAGAATCGCCTATGCTAACTAATGCGAAAAAAATCTTGAAAGCAAAGGCAATTCATTAATAAACATACACGTGCGGCAGAGATTGTTGCAACAGCTAGAAATGTATAATAACAACCAAAAATTAATACAATGTCAAGAATATTATACAAGAAATGTAATAAAAAATATTATTTAAATGTTATAAAAATATGTGATACATAATAATAAAAAAGAAATCAGAAGGGACAGCTAATGGTAATTTGGAATATCAATTTCTTGATTAACATAGTTTCAATGGCTTAATTAACATAGTTTTTCAAATTCAAGTGATTTAAATTTCGCTCAGTTTCATTGTTTTTCGGCGGAATGCAACGAATTTGATGTAAATATCTTTGGCACGCCGACGTCCACGTTCTTTGAGGACATTCCTGATCTACATTTCACGACGATTTCGGCGCAGTTCTAGGAAGATCTGACCCAGTTCTGCCATTATCTCATTCTCTTATGGTTCGCCCATGACGTGACGTCAAAAGCTATCTGCGGAACTTGTGGTGTTGCTCGTTAATATCTAAAATTAATGTAAACATTCGAAACGGCGCGACGGACGATGATACTTCGCGCCGCCGCGCCATAGGAAATTGTAACGTAGAAGCACTAATTTTAACAATGTTCAAGGACACGATAGCCAAAGAGCTGTGGCGATTCCGCTTCTCTCTTCCCTCTCCATTCTCTCTCTCTCTTTCTCTCTCTCTATTTCTCTTTTTCTCTCCCTCTCTTTTTCTTGAAAAGCTTCTGCTTTTGACCTATATCTTCCGTTGCAAACTATGCCAGCGAAATGGCAAGCTATACAATCATCACGTCGAATCTCGTTGAGTGCAGTTAAAACGTTGACGTGCGTCATGTACGAGAATAGTACATACTAATCGCAATCAAAGAGAGAGAGAGAGAGAGAGAAAGAGAGAGAAAAAGACACCGCGCTTGTTTTAAACGCGGGAACTAATCGGATCAGAGCGCCACTCGTAAAACCGCCGATGAAAGACGGTGCACGTTCAGGGACGAGGGAAGTCGAGGCGTGCCGGAAAAACCTTCTCCTTCGATCGCGTAACACCGACCTTTTTATTCATGCAGCGTAATCGTGTCGCCGCAAAATCACGTTGCTTCAACGACACGCGACGAAATACATACGTTTCAACGATCGTCAGTTTTCATCACTAAATTTCGCAATCATAACGCAGAGAAACATTTCTCGCGACATCTTCTCCCGTCCGTTGTAATTATTTACCGATTTATCATATCGCTCGCCTTGATCCGCGCATGTCACTGATAATATTTTGTAAAAAGTTTACGAACTTTAGAAATCTTGCAAAATAAGTCGCCGTATCAGAATTTATTTTAGACTCGAGATATTCGATTCGTTCGAGAGACTTCAATTCAATTAATCTGATTGATTCGGATAAAAGGCGGGAGGAGCTTCAATTAATTTCCTTCGCAGCATTCCTTCCGACACGCAAGGAGAAGCGAGAGAAAAATGCGGAAGCGGTTCGATCTTGCAACACCACTAAGCGCGGTATCTTTTCACGGAGCTTCGTCAGGATTAACGGAGCATTTATTAACGCCGTGAGGCCATTAACGGGATGATATCTCTTCAATGGCGTGATGCTTGTTATTCGTTCACCAATCCGACCGATCCAGTTATTCGCCACGAGCAACGGCAATTAACCCTGAGGTTACGATACGCGATTTTATCGTGGACCATATCTCGGCTGTGTGCGTAGACGCTAAAAATATTCGCCGGAAGTGCCGAAAGTCCGTCGATTCGCGGATGCGCTCCTCTTCCGACGGGCGAGTTCCGACTTCCGGCGCCCTTGAACGCCTCTCGAACGCACCGTCGTCGCGCGATATCATCATTCATATCCCTCGGTATCATTGACGGAGGGGAGAGTCTCGTCCGCTTCATTGTCGCATTCGCGCACGTAGTAACAGTAACCGTATCGTGACAGTAGTAGCGTATATCGGGTCACGTTCCTCGGTCCGCTCTATTAAACGCGACGACGCTCGGCCGCTTCGACGCGGCCGGAATCACGATTCACGGCGTCCGCATTCGGTCTCTCCGGATCTTCCGGCATCGCAGGAAGACGATCATGGCGATCGTACCTGATCCCGTTGCGCGATAATGCACGCGTCCGCTCTTGCGCGCTCTCTCTCTCTCTCTCTCTCTTTCTCTCTCTTTCTTTCTTTTTTTCTTTCTTTCCCGTGACTTTTGTCTTCGCGAGCAGACAGACGGACGATACGTTTTCCGCGGATGCAACGCGTGGCACTGAACGCGCGGCGCAAGCCAGCGAAACGCGCACTGCGTGCGAATAATGTTTTTATCCGAGTCTCGCGAGTCTGGCGATACCTCGCGATACGAAGTCGAATCTTGGCGCGTTATTCGCTCATTCGTTCGTTCGTCTGTCTGCTCGTTCGCGGCAAATCGCGCGAATTTTACGGAAATCACACGTTGAGACACGCTGATGTCGCAGAGTAGAAGACGGAGGTCTTATCTGTCAGTTAACTCGCATTATCTACGCGATAACAAACGGTCACAAACATGAAATCGAATGGAAAATATGGAGATCGTCATCCACACATGCGAGCTCTACAAGTCCAAAGGAAAATGTAGATGCGATCTACAAACGACGCGACATCCAACGCAATCAAGCGTCGAGTGTTAATTAACGCGGCAAATAATATACTCAAGTCGAAATAATAAATACTGTTTTTCTCTCGCAACCGTAAAATTATTTTACATAACTGCCTCTGTATCTCGTACATCGTGCAGAAATACACAGGAATTCGAACAACAGTGGCATTCAGTGCTAAATGCGCGCTGAGAGCGTCCCTCGAAATCAGGGACGATTCTGTGGTTTGCGGTGCTCTACAAAATTATGGCAGACCGCAATCAGTTGTATTCAAGTACATTTGTAACATTCACATTCAAGCATGTTAAAAAAAAAGAGATAGTAAACAACACTCAAAGATATAATAAATTAATAAGTTGAAAAATTATTAGAAAGTTCTCTTCGAAATCTCTGGCATTCCCTTAATTTCTCTTTTTTTATTTTTATCCTCGGCCCTTCATCGTTGAAGACCCTTTATCATTTCTTATCTGCATCTCAGAATTAAATTAAATAACGTGATTCTAAGGGAATCTAAATATATAGATCTCATTTGCTCTTCTCCACGTTTTTAAAAACATTTTCAATTTTTTATTTTATCGATAATAAATACTCAAATATTGTACTACAAAAATGTCAGTATTATTATAATATTATTACAAAAAAAATGATCTTTTCCGGAGTCGCAAATAATTTTGCTTATTTACGATAAAGCATAAAAAGTCTTTTAGAGGAAGAAAGAATATCGTGGATTTTTCTTAAGTCGCGATCCGAATATC